AATAACTTCCCTCTTGAAGAATTAATCGGGTCATTAATGACCTATGAAATGACTTGGCAAAGCTTATGAAGAGCAAGAAGACATCATTCCAAAAAACAGGAAGGATATGACACTTAGAACTCTAGAAGACCACTTGAGAGAAAACTCAAGTGATGAGGACTTTGACGATGACTTGGCACTTCTAACAAGAAAATTTAAAAAATTTATTAAAAAAAATAAATTTAAAAATGATACTAAAAATAAATTTGAAATAAAAAAGGACCAAGTTATTTACTACGAATGCAAGAAGCTGGGACACTACAAAAGTGATTATCCCCAAGCCAAGAAGAGAATACCAAAGAAGAAGACGCTCAAAGCAACGTGGGATGACTCAAGCGCATCCGAAGAAGAGGAGTCCAACACCGACCAAGTTGCTCATTATGCCTTAATGGCCATCGGAGAGGAGGTATCAAATTTAATTGATGCAGATTTATCATTTGATGAATTGTTAAATGCTTTTCATGACTTATTTGATGAATGCAAAATAATTAGTAGAAAATATAAATTGTTAAAAAAGGAGCATGATATTCTTATTAGTAATTTTGATAAATTAAAAATTAAACATAATGATAGTTTAGCTCCATGCATGAAATGCCATGATCTAGAAACTCTCCAAAAGAAGAACTTGCTACTTAAGGACACCTTAAAGAAATTTGAGATTGGTAGCAAGTATTTGAATATGATCCTTACAAATATGGGTCACGTTCTTAAAAGAAGTGGAATCGGAGTAATCCAACCACCTTCATTAAAGACCTTATCTAACATGTTACGCACTAAAACAAATGCAACTTTTGTTACAAACATGGACAAAGAACTTATCATTGTCCATTCAAGAAAGTTAGTCCGAATAAATTAATTTGGGTTCCTAAAGGAACCATGATAAATTCCATACAACATGATAAACAATTTAGATCAGTTTTTAGGCACCCAAAATTAAATGGGTACCTAAAGATCATTCTTTCTTGTAAAAACATATATCATCACAAGCTAGGAGCAAGAGATAGTATCTTGATAGTGGATGCTCAAGGCATATGACCGGAGATCCATCTCAATTCTCTAAGCTCACTAGCATAGACGAAGGCTATGTCACATTCGGAGACAACAACAAGGGTAAAATCATTAGCAAATGAACCATAGGTAACAAATCTAACTTCTTTATTGAAGATGTTTTATTAGTTGATGGTTTAAAACATAACCTCTTTAGCATTAGTAAATTGTGTGATAAAGGATACATTGTCAAATTCGAATCTAATGCTTGCATCATTGAAAAACCACACAAAAACCCATCTATGATTGCATTAAAATAAAATAACATATGCACCATTGACATCAATGATCTTTGTAATGAAATATGTTTTTCGATTTTGAATGATGATGCTTGGCTTTGGTATAGGAGATTAGGTCATACTAGCATGAAACTAATCACTCAAATTTCATCCAAAGAACTTGTAAGAGAAATTCCTCATATCAAGTTCATCAAAGATAATGTGTGTGATGCTTGTCAATTAGGAAAACAAATTAAGGGTAGCTTCAAATCTAAGAATCAAATAAGCACCTCTAAACCCTTGCAATTGATCTATATGGACTTATTCGTACCAATCTCTACATCAAGCCTAGGAGGTAGCAAATATGCCTTTGTTATTGTAGATAATTATAGTAGATACACATAGACTTATTTCTTGAAATACAAAAATGAATCTTTAGATATTTCACCAAGTTTTGTAAACTTATTCAAAATGAAAAGGGTTCTATGATTTCATCAATTAGAAGTGATCACGATGGTGAATTTCAAAATCGTGATTTCTAAGAATTTTGTGAATTTAATGGATACAACCATAACTTCTCTACTCCAAGAAATTCTCAACAAAATAGAGTAGTAAAAAGAAAAAAATATAAATTTATAAGAAATAACAAGAACCATATTGAATGAACATAGCCTACCCAAATATTTTTGGGCTGAAGTCGTAAACACTGCATGCTATATTTTGAATAGAGTTCTAGTAAAACCCTTACTCACCAAAACTCTCTATGAGTTGTGGAATAACAAAAAACCCAATGTTTCATATTTTAAAATTTTTGAGTGTAAGTGTTTTATCTTGAATGAAAAAGATGCCTTAGGAAAATTTGATGCTAAATCCGATGAAGGAATTTTTCTTGGTTATTCTTCGATTTCTAAAGCTTTTCATATCTTCAATAAAAGAACTTTAATTATAGAAGAATCCATTTATATTATTTTCAATGAGATTTCTGAAATCAAGAAAAACGATTGGAAGTATATAGATGCTCATCCTAAGGAGCTAATCTTAGGAGACACATCTAAGGGGGTTCAAACACGTTCTTCTATTAAAAACTTTTGTGCCAACACCGCTTTTCTCTCCCAAATTGAACCTAAATGTATTGACGAAGCCATGAAAGATGATTTATGGATTATCGTAATGCAAGATGAGTTAAATCAATTTGAGAGAAATAAGGTGGGAAGCTTATTCCTAGGCCACATGACCATTTAGTTATTGGTACTAAATGGGTCTTCAGAAACAAGCAAGATGAATATGGTATCATGGTTAGAAACAAGGCTAGATTAGTGGCCAAAGGTTTCAACCAAGAAGAAGGTATCGATTACGAAGAAACCTTCGCTCTTGTGGCTCGATTAGAAGCTATAAGAATGCTCCTTGCCTATGCTAGTAATAATAATT